CACCACAAGCGGCCTTCATTGGTATCACACCAAGATGCTGAACATCACTGAACCTTACCTGCAGTTCTTGCCTTGCAGGAGCTCAGACCATCTTCTGCAGCCATTCTGGGATTATTTACTTTTTCACTATATGCCTCTCATCTCATCCCCATTTTTCCCCGTCCTACTCGCCTTTTCTAGCTATTTTTTCTTCAGCTTACCTTTTTCTGTGCTGGACCTCTTGGGAGAAAAGGTGCCTTTATTCCATCAGTACAAGATCCAACCAAACAGGAAGCCAACTTTGAAAATGATGGGTGACAACTTCATGGTCACTTTTTATAACCACATCTTCTTTGTTTTACCAGCTGTAATAATCAGTATTTTCATTATGCCTGCACCACCACTGCCACAAGATGCTCCCACAGTATATGAACTGTTTATTGATATGCTGGCTGTACTGCTCCTCTTTGACACTCAGTACTTTATTTGGCATTTCATGCATCATAAGCATCCTCAGCTTTACCGCTGGATCCATGCAGTCCACCACGAATACATAGCACCTTTCTCATGGTCAAGTGAGCGGCTCAGCATCCCAGAGCTGATGACGGTGGGATTCTGGAGCAATTGTGATCCAATTCTTCTAAACTGTCACCCGCTGACCACATGGTGCATTACAGTTTTTAGCATCTGGATGTCTGTTGAAGACCACATAGGCTATGACTTGCCGTGGACCTTGAACCACCTGGTGCCTTTGGGGCTGCTGGGTGGAGCACCAGCTCATGACATGCACCACCAGAGGCCGAGCACCAACTATGCTCCTTTCTTCAGCCACTGGGACAGAATTTTTGGCACTGCTGCCCCTTTGAAGAAAAAAAATGAACTGAAAAGCAAATAAGAACTGTTCTGTCAATAAAGCCTGTTTTTTTTATGTGGCATTGTTAGCACTGCAACACTCTTTTAATGCCCAATCCTTTAATTACTGCTTTCTCTATGTGGGGCCCTTGCTGTCTCCGCACTCTTTGGCAGTGTATATATATAAATATATAAATATATATGTGTGTGTATATTCTCAATGAACCGTGTTAAATGAATTTGTTGACTTTTTGAATTCAATAAAAAACATTTTATTTACAAAGAATCTGACTCTTTTGTTTCATTCATTATTAAATGGAATAAAAAGTAAATAAAAGCTGGCGTGTGTGTATATAATCACTCATTCAATACTGTGGTGAAGCTCCAGTAATCACTTATAATTGCAAGAAACTTCCTGTAGGGAGGGGTCTGGGTTTTCTGGTAATCTTCTTACATAATTTAAAACCTTTGAAAGAGCCTTACTCAGCCTTCCAAACTTCACAAGGGAAAACAGAGTTCATAAACAAGAAATGTACTGTTTGTCAAACTAGTCACGCTGAGTTAAAGACATAAAAAAGAAAGAAAGAAAAAACCATGACTGAGGGAATTCAGGCTAATCCATCCCTGAAAGCGCAGAGCTCTAACTCCTTAAAGGTATATTGATTTGAATATGCCGGTAATTTTAAGTCATTAAAAAAAGGAAAAGGACTCCTGCATTCCTTTTGTGGAACTTTGTGGAAAAAATCATTGACGTGTTCTTCTAGGGATCGCCAAACTGGATAATCTTCCTCCATCTCCCTCCTGTGTCACACCCCATACCATAGGGAGGGGGCTGTAGCTCAGGTGGCAGAGCAGGTCAGCCACTAATCAGAAGGTCAGTGGTTTGATCCCAGGCTGCCTCCTGGCTGCATGCCAGATATCCTTGGGCAAGATACTAACCCCATGTTTGCCTACTGGTGGTGGTCAGAGGGGCTGGTGGCGCCAGTGTTCGGCTGCCTCGCCTCTGTCAGTGTAACTGTAGCTACAATGTAGCTTGCCGTGTGTGAATGACTGAATGTAGTGTAAAGCGCTTTGGAGTCCTTAGGGACTAAGTAAAGCGCTAAACAAATGCGAGCCATTTATCATTCATAAATCTTCTCTGATCTCTTCCTCTTACCTTGCTGCTCCATATTCAACACCCTTTGTCCAATCTATACACTATACCAATCTATAAGGGCTTGTCTCTCTTTGTCTCCAGACTACTCATTTCTAATCTTGTCCATCTCAGTCACTCCCAGTGAATATTTTCAGCTCTGCCATCTCTAGCTCATCCTCCTTTTTGTTAGTGACACCTTACATCATAGCAGGTCTCACTACCACCTTGTAAACAATGCCTTTCACTCTTGCTGTTACCCTTCTGTCATGAATCATCCTCGACAGTCACCCCCATCCACTCTACCCTGCCTGCTCTATAGTAAGCGGTTTCCACATTAATAAAATAGACTTTCTGGCAGATCAGTTCTTTCTCATCATGCCTTGTTTAACTCTTGCCTGTCCCTCATACATAAAGCATTTTAAGTAGGCTTTCACTGGTATAGAAATACTGGTCAGGTTATGTGATCTAAATCTTCCCTTTCAGCCTTCTTGCTAGCCCTCTGTTAGAGATCACCCCTAACACTTATCTCCACCTGCTCCACCCTGCCCACACTCTCTTCTTCACCTCTTTTGCTTTGGATGTTTCCCCCATTTACTTCTACTGACCTTCATTCCTCCTCTCTCCATAGCATACCTCCACCTCTTCACAGTCTCTTCCACCGTTTCCCTACTTATACTACAAATCACAATGCTGTCTGCAAACATGATAGTCCTGAGAGACTCCTGAGTGACCTCATCTCCCAGCCTGTTCATTAATATTGCAAAGAAGAGGGCATCAGATTCCTGATGTATCTCACCCCCATCTTTCACTCCTATTTGCAGTTATTTGTAAAAATGTTTGGAATCGTATGATTTTCGTTCCACTTCTCACGTGTACACCACTTTGTATTGGTCTTTCACATGGAATTCAAATTAAAATTGATTCATGTTTGTGGCTGTAATGTCACAAAATGTAGAAAAGTTCAAGGGGGCTGAATACTTTTTGCAAGCCACGATATATCTTGTGACTTATTTGAGCTACCCTACTAAGTCCAGATGTACTAAATAGAGGACATCATGTGCTTTCTCATGTGCTTGGGTGGCCTCTTTGAGTTTCAAAGAGGAAGAAAATCAAACAAAAAAGTTCAATAGTTAGATTCTCTTTTCCTTAGTTCTCTGGAGGATATGCTGTCTCTAGGCCCACAAAGACACAGTGCCAACTCCTTAACTTCTTTATACTTCTCTGTTAAAACTCCTAAAGAAAACATGGCATCTCTAGTCCTCTTTCTCAGCATGAAGCCATACTGCTGCTCACTGATTACTTAAACTAGCTTCAACTTTTTTCCATAGCTTCATAGTGTGGCTTATTTAGTTACTTATGTAGTTACTACACATGACCCTTGCTCTTAAAAACTGGCGCAAGATACCTAGTCCAAGTAGGTGAAATGCAAAATAGGTTCATTTTTAGTCCAAGCAGGTCAAGAAAATAAATTCTTGATCTGCTTGGACTAACACTGAAGCTATTTGGGATTTTGCCTAGACTGAGCAAATCCCATCTGGTGAGCAAGGACAAAAAGGTCCTAGAAAGTACACAAATTTAAAAATATAACCAAGAACAGCAAAAACAGGATGTTTTTGTTAAATACATTTATTTGTCACGGAACAACTGCAACCCCCGCCCCCCCAAAAAAACAAAAAAACCCAAACACTACACACTGTCAGTGCAGACTCTTATTTAAATACTGAACAAACATATTAGCAATTTGTCCCGTGTTTTCTGTCGGGTGCAGCTTGGTGTAGCTGATGAACTGGCGCCGTAATTTCCGCAGCTCTGCCATGTTGACATTTCTGGTGAGCTCAATGTTTAACAGCGAGTTAAGGAACAAGAAAAATACCACAGGTAGAACCTAACAGAAGCCCAAATTATCTCCAAGCCCCAGTATTGCATTTAAACCTTTGAGCAGGACAACAGAACGAAATAACCTGTACTGAATGTTGCTGGCATCATTTCAAATTCAGATTATGCCCATTTTATTAAAGGTTGGCCAGAACAGAAGATGATGTGCTTTTAAGTTATGCTGTGCTTGGACCAACATCTTCAAAGAAGAAAATCAAAGTGGCTGGTTCTGAGAAGGTGCTTCACAGTCCTGCAACCAATGAAAATCCACAAATATAATTTGGTTTCTCCCCACCACATATCCCACAGCATGCAATTACAGACAAGACCTTTAACATTGCTTAGTAGATCCACCTTTCTTTTAAGTCATGTGATGGCCACACATTCCTCCACCTCCTCATCTAATGCTTTCAGATAGAACAGTGTTGTCCCCCCCGCTATTGAGGGGAGGTGATTAACCCCGGGAGGTAAACGAAAATTAGCATTTCACACAGTCATTAAATATGACAGACGTCCCACACGGAACTACAAAAATCTGTTTAATGTGAAAATATTAATCAAAATTGTGTGTTCAAAATAACTGGGCACACGCAAGTTGTGTTTAAAAAAGGATATCTTTTCCGAAGCTCCTGGAACTGCGATAAGATCCCCGGGAACGCTCGTCTTCTGGGCGTTAAAAATCGCCTGAAAACATTTAATTACATTTATCAAACACACATATAAAAATGAATTTTTAAAAAAGGGATCTCTACAAAGAGTATAAGGAACAATGAATCAGAATTAGAGAAGTATTTACTCCTCTTAATTTATTTTGCTGGAAACTTTTGCAGATATTGTGCAACAGAACGCCGTGATCTGTGTGAAATCGCATAAAGAAGGAAGTGCAACATGTGGCATGCTAACAAATACATGAGCTCGATGTCAAAACAAAGACAAAGAGGAGGTTATTTTTATTATTGATTTTTTTTTGCTGATTCACATGTTTTTACTCTGTTGCCTTGTTTTGGTAATCATGTCATGCTCATGTCATGAATGGCAGACAGAAATTCCCACACTTACAACGTGCAAGGGTGCATTCATTTTTTATTAAACGTTGGACAGTCAGCAGTTAACAGCTAAAGCTGTCGATTGTTTTTCTAATCCTTTCAACACTTTGGATTTTAGCATTGAGATCCAGGAATTTCACACAGCCACAGTCAGTACTTTAACATTAATCGCAGGATGTAGATTTTCACTCCATGACTGTGGAAAAATCTCACTGACCTAATAATATTTGTGGGCATTTACTCAAATCTTGAGCTCAACATCTGAGTCCTGTGATTTTATTGTGTTTTAAACAAATCTTTATAAACAGCAAGTACCCATTCATATAGTTTAAATGCCTAATTCCAAATGTAGTTATCCCCAAACTTTTAACGACTTTAGACCGGTTCCCCTCAAATCAGTTGTAATGTAAATATTTGGAAACAATGGTGAAATCAGAGATTTTAAGGCCCACTGAGCATGTGCTTGACCCCATTCACTTTACCTCATGCTAAACTGATGTTACTCATGCTGAAAACCAGTTCAACGTGATTGACAAAAGTGAATAAAATGAGGCAAGCAAAAAATATGATCACTGATTTTAGATGCACTCATAAACACAATGTCACATCTATTAAGGGTCAGACTGTTGAAGTTCAGTGTTATGAATGTCTTTGAAGCTGTGTGCACCAGCGAGTCTCCCGTTTGAGAAGGCTTTCTGGTTTCCACATTGATAAAACTGCGATGGGTTTATTTTATCGTTCTTTTGTTTAATCCGATTTATCTCTTTCTTTGGGCTTGTGGTCTGGATACTTATCTGTAAACGAATCGAACTGTTCAGTCATCTAACAGGCTGACTGGTGAACCACAGCTGAACTTAGAGCCCCTGCACCTAGGAAGCCTGCAGCGGTTGGCTGGTTCACTTTTTCTTGACGACTCACACCCTTTGCAAGGTGAATGTAATAGACTGACAAGGTTTAATTAACAGCTTTGTTCGAGCAGTCATTACTTCACAGGAACAGCTATGTCACTTTCAAGGGCTACGTGATAACCAAAATTAATTAGAATTAGCTGTTATTTCAGTATTTTGCACTATGCGCATTTGTTGTCCATTTGCATGTGTTTGCATGTGAGGATGGATGACTCACGACTGCAGAACAGTAACCTGTACCTGAACCTGAACCGGGCTATTATTGTGTGCCAAGCTAAATACCTCATCAGCGCTTCACTCATAATTGCATCTTGGCTGGTGATGTAACGTATAAAGCTGTAAATACATGTAATACCTTCTGAGTCATAGAACAAAGTCTACATTATGCAGAGGAATGTTGATACCCCAACAAAGGATTTGTAAACATTTTTCTGAAAAAGACTCTTCTGTCATATTTCACTTAGAATATGACATAACTCAAAAAGCAGTCCAGCTCAGTGAAAAAAATATCATGGGAAACTACCTGAATGACCAGTAAATGATGTGAAACTAGAAAAAACAAACAAACAAAAAAAAAAACAACATACCATCAAGACATCTTGAGTGATCTTGTCCAACTCGTATAAAAAGTTTGCTGATGACAGCGGTTGCTACAGAGAAGAAAAAAAAAATAGGTTTCCTTCACAATCAGACAAAAAAACAGCAACACATGCATGCAGTAAATATTGTAGATTTCCAGACTGATTGTAACTAGTGTCTCTTAGGCTATGTCCACACTAATGTGCTTTCGTTTGAAAATGCATCGTTTTCTCTCCGTTTTGGCCTCCCGTCCACACTGAGTCTCGAAAATGCTCTCGAAAATGCATACATTTGAAAACGGTGCTGTCGCGTCGCAGTGTGGACAGCGAAAACGGAGCCTTTTGGAAAACGATGACACGTTTTAGTCATGTGATGCAGTCAAGTGACCAATTAAACTAAGATAGCGGAGGGCATTATACAGCGGTTGCTTTGTTTGCTCTCAATTTTGACAGCCCTATTAAAGATTACTATCAGTTTGCACATGCTTCAGACAGCTTTTCTTCAAATTCTTTAATTCTCACTCGCTTTTGCAACTTTGTACTTTTGTGTTACCCTCAGCAACAACTCCACCTCATTGTTAGTCCGTTTAAAAAACTCGGTGCTTCTCCTCGACATTTTGCCGCGACGTTTCAAGGAGCCGGAAAGTAAATAAACGGCAGACGGAAATGAGGCAAGTCGAATTGTCTTGCGTTTCAAGCATGCGCAGTACTGGAACGTAAGCGTTTTCGGCCGTTTCAACGTGGACGGACAACTCTGTGAAAATGACTGAAAGCGATAGTGTGGACGCGGAGCATTTTCAGACGAAAACGCTGTTTTCAAATCTATCCGGGCTAGTGTGGACGTAGCCTTAGACTTACACTCTGAGTAGACTGGTTCGGTGGGGGTGCTTTTCTTTTGAAAAGTGCATCAGAAATGGCTTCAACTGGAAGTGTGTCATCTTTCAGGATAGTGAAGAGAGGGCTGTCCCATCGGTTTCTGGAATCCGGAGCTTCAAATCGCTGAACTAATGCGTCAAAGCTTCAAAACACCAAATGCATGTGAGACAGTTTGCAAAAAAACTAAAACTAAAAACAAAAAACACATGCAACAGTGCAGGTAAGGTAAGAGTCGTGCTCTCATACTGAGGCTTCTCACTCACATGTCCTGATTGTACTGATCAGCAGCATCTCTGTTTGTGTTCCATAATGAGCTCTCTTCATGGGACGTCAAACTGTAGACCTTAACAAGGAAAACCCGCAAACATACCACGATTGCATTTGAAGGTAACATTTTTTCAAAATGTATGTTTAATTGTCTACTTACCAAGCAGTGTGGAGTCTGTGCATGTTTGATGAGGCAGAACAGTTCATAGCGGTAGCCTGTAACATATTTAAATTTTAAACTACAAATCACAATATTTAATGTAACTGTGACAATTACAGAATAAGTAGTAAGACTTACCTTTTATGTAATTTAATGAGTCTAGAATAACAATGTCATCCTTGTTGACTTTCCTAAAAAAAAAAAAAACAACAACCCAGAAAAACCAAAAAAGAATTAGCATTAAAATATGTGTGGGTTTTGTGCAACATCAGATCCTACAGCAGATTTTTAAACACTCACCTCTCCACTTCAGCTTTCAGAGACGCTCTGACATTTTTCTCCTTTTGAGAATCTGAAACATTTCCAGTAAAATTAAGTAAATGCAGAAGTCTGCCCAGTTGAAGCAAACAGTCTCCTTAGTCATGTTAACAATTACGGAAATAATAAAGAACTAAAGTTTTGAAAAACAAAATGTTTAATTCTAAAAGCATAATGTAACAGTAACACAGTTAAAATGATCAGGTCCAAGTGATGTGCCATGTCATATCACCCACAATAATAATATGAATATCAAAGTATCATATTATTATGTAGTTGCTATAGCAACATCCTGCTTAAATTCCCTAATGCTCACAACGAGACAAGCCCAGGCATTTGTGAGAGCAAGAGCCTCTGATGGTCATTTGGTAGCTAAAAAGGGAGTTACGTCAACAACTTTCAGCAAAGCAGTGTACTTTTCAAAATATCCAAGAAAACTGTTGTCACTAACTGTGGACACAAACTTGCAGCTTGAAGCAAAAAACCCAGGTTTTTTTTTTTTTACAACCAGTCTATAAAGGAGGAGATACAATCAGCTGGTTATGTTAGACCCAGAAGTAAATAAAATGACTTCACCGAGCATGGCCAGCTGCACGCGTTATTGTTAAACTAAAGTATTAAGCAACTACTTTATACTTAAAATTTACAGGGAAAACACTACCCAGGCTTATGACTTATGCTGTGTCACTGTATCTGTTGCTGTGTTATTACTTTTGCACAATAATGCTGCTGCCATTGTACCATTGCTCTTCAAATTAGGAAGTGTGTCATCAATAACAGAAGCTCATTGGAGAAGGAGAATTGAAAATGCCCTTCAGTTACTCATTTAGGAATCCTGCTGCTGCAAACGTCATAAAATGTCGCTTCCCCCCCTACATCATAATAAATCTCATAATCGCAAGTGTTTTTTGAAATGTCATGATATATTCCCATTCCTAGTACCATACTACTCTATTACTAGCAGTTTCCGCTTACATGTGATTTCAGGGGTTTGTAAAAGTAGAATGGGCGCTATCAGGCAACTCTGCTGTGGAACCAGCTCTCAGTTTGGCATACAGGACACTCTCTCTACTTTTCAAATTAGCCTGAAAACTTCCACTTATGACAAATCCTATAGTCAAGCTTGGATCCAATCTCTTAGGAATATAGCTGCTGCTGAGGGATTTTCTACTATGCAGTAAGCACATCGACTTGATGCCTCTTTCACTCCCTATGCATTTATATGCTACTACAGCATGAAATTAACTTTTGTTCTATTTGTTGCTAATAGTCTCCTTTCTTTCCTCTGGCCTCCAACCAATCATCCTCGATGGTTGCCCCTTCTTTAACTGGTTTTGTAGGGTCTCTTACTGTTAAAGAGCAATCCTTCTTCCCCACCTTCGCCAGGTGCCTGTTCATAAGAGATTACTGGACTGTCTCTACTACTAACTACTACTGCTGCTAACGCTAAATAAGTAAAATTAATTGAATAGTAGCGCTCATAAAGCAGGCGAACACAGTTGTAATTGTCATGAACTTTAAAGCCGCCCCAAGCATCGATAAGCGCAAACGCTGAATAAGCACTCCTGCCTCTGTTGTTTATTCCCCCGGCTAAGCTTCGTGTAAGGCCGGTAATGTTACCTCAGTATTATGTGGCTAATAACATACAAAAATATGCCAAGTAAGACTGAAAGCCCTGGAAGCTGAAAAGCTTTAAGAAGCACACTAATGAATGCGTGCTAAGCTTACTTGCCTGCGTAAACAGTGTTTTTCTCAACGCCCAGGCTTCCGTCTCCAACAATATGAACCTTTCTTTCTGTGCTTTCTTCAAAATACACCTTCAGCTCTTCTGCCCTTCGTGACTTACCACTACAGGGATAACCACACATCACTATTAGGGGCATAACTGGGGCTAGTTGCCACTCAAACTACCCTGGGATGTGATAAAAAGCACGTTGCCACTTTCACCCGGATATGTTAACTAAAAGCGGTTTTTCCCTTTACCGACCGGCAGGGGGCGCCAGAAACTTGATTATCTGAAGGTACTGTGTGTATGCGAATGTGACTTGAACATAGATGAAAACACAGACTTCCAATACATTCTCTGCACTTTTAATAAAGTCATAGACAATATAAAGTAAAACAACAGAAGTGTTTCTCACTTGCCAACATATACGTGTTATGTTAGACAAAAAACAAAACATAATTTAGCTGATTTTCACAAGAGCAGAAACCCTCCTCTTCATCAGCAGGATGTCACGCAACAACTGATCGAACTGGATGTCCTTCTTCTCTAAATGCATGAGAAAAACACAGAAAGCTGTACAATGGAAGGATTAACAGCGGTATTAGACTGAGTAATAATACATAACTCACCTGTCTAGTGCCTGCTCTCCTTGTGTTTGTTGGGCAGTTTTCAGAATATGGATGAGGAGCGCCTGCAGGTCTTCCACTCCGTGCAGAGGTCTCACATCTCTGCCTTCAGCTGTATCTTTTATATTCTCAAAGGCAGAATTCACAAAGGAACTATCCACAATGCTCTTCTTGCCCATGAAATGTCCTTATTAAATGAAACATGCAAACTCTCTGTAAACATTGCATTTGCAAACAGAACAAAGAAACAATCATTCAGCAGTGTAATTTTTACTTACCCGTTGCCCACAGATTCCCCCTGGGATTCACCTTGAGCTTTGAAACTTTATTTCTCAGCTCAGTCAAATCAAGAGTCATTGAAGTTGTCAAAGCAATGTATGAGATAAGGATGAAAGAAGACAGGAGTCCTCCCCTGCACATCTTTGTCACAGTGCCTTTCATTTCTCAGATGTGCTTCCAATTAATTTGGAGCTGGTCAATTAAAAGAAATCTCTTCTGTTACTTTGGGTACAGGCAGTTATACTGAGACAGGATCGGCTTAATATTCTAATGGGATGAAGTCATCCATCTGTGGTTGTTGCTTATTGGATGCATGATGCACATTAGAGTGCCTTGTGCCTTTCTGACTTGCTGTGACGATTTTAAGCACGTGACCTCGTCGCAAAACTACTGATTATCACACCCCGATTACATTAAATTCTTTCAACCCAGCAGGTCTGTAATGAAAGACAAGACAGAGCAGATCTGTAATTAAATGCACCAATTTATTTGTAAGTACTTTAATGTAACAGCAAGGCACGTAGGCCACTGCATGCTGAACAGATGAAATGGCTTAAGAAATGCTGTAAATCCAAGTTTAATTGGCTACTGTAGGTACACAAATTCTTAACCAAGTCCTCACTGTACACAGTATCAAAAAGTACAAATATCTTTCGACAAGCATTACAAAAAGACAAACAGTGAACAAGTAATTCCTCTCAGCCCCTGCAGGTAAGCAGCTGCAGTGTGGTGATTCGAGGGCTTACAGAGAATCAAAGAGCTCACACAGCACTTTCATAGAAAAGTTCACTTGTCAGTTGAGTCAATATGACCATAAAAAGACTTAATGTCATTCCCAAAATAATTTATAAAATTTATTAATGTGGGATAATACATTTTTAAAACTAATTTTTTTACATTGCACTGAGATTAACTGCAACTTCTCAAAGCCTTTCGACGTTTAACAATCACTGCCATTTACCACGGAGGTAGGAACTGTCACGTAGTCAATACAAAACGAGGTGTCGCTTCACATATCAGAGCCTGCAACCGAAAAGTATCCCCCTTTTGCCAAGTGCTAATCTAAGATATTTTTTATTTTAAGTCACTGCATTCCCATTCACGTTCCCAGGTGCTGATTCATAAAACATTAACTCTGACATGCTGATGAATTTCACTCTCACACCTTCTCTGGATCATCCTCAACAAATGTACCCTGATTTGACGTAACATTGACCGTTCACTTGCTGGAAAAAAAAACAAAAAAAAAAAAACAACAAAAAAAACCAAAAAAAACCCACTTCTGGCAATTTGAGGTATTTTCAATACAGCAATACTGCTGCAGAACACATGTAATACCTCTTCGTTTCTCCCAAACACGTGAAAGAACACCCCCAAAACAGACAGTATAAAATTGTTTGTTTGTTTTTTTTAAAAAAAGGCCAAACCATGAACTTGTAATTACTGCTTTTACATGAACAATCAATTATACTGTGTTTCGTAAAAAATAAAAACCTACTAATATTAAAAAAGCAGCCTGAATCCTTCAGGATTTAGTGTGAGGCATTAAATAATTTGAAACAATACCTGAAACTCCACCAATACACTGTTACAATAATCAATACCAGACCGTAAAACAAACACACATTCCTGAGTCTCCTGCCAGGGTGGATGGAAAATGTTAAGCAAAAAATTTTGACGAAAAAATAAAAAAACAGGAGGGGGAAATGTTTAACCGTAGTATGAGTGATGAGTGCAGTTATATGTGAAAGGCAAGATTAATATATTACCAACATACAAGGTTAAATTAAAAAACAAAAAAATAATATGAAAATATTTGTTCTGTATTAAATATATGTATCTGCTAGAATATACTGCACCGCCTCTAAATAGGTTGTCCAAATTAAAGGCATTACATCTTTGTACGACCTGCCTAAAAACATCAAGCATCCCTTATGACTTTCACATGAAAACTGAGGATATTAAAGCAGCTTTAAACAGGAGCTGAGGTGGCTCTCACTGCTGGAGAGAGACTGCTTGTGTCTGAGAGTGAGTGCTCAGGTTTAAGTTACAGTCTGTGCTCGTGGAGCAGTGCGGACTTTCTTGCTCTCCGGCCGGTGAGGGATCAGATTTGTTTAGCTGGTGAAACAAATTGTTTTCCTCATCAGATTCTGCTGATCCAGCCAGCTGATTATCCTGCTCCTTCTCTTTAACATCTCCCTCTGGATCTTTGACTTTGTGTACGATGAAAAGATGTCTATTGAGAGACAGCACGGACGTGAAACACAGGCCACAGTGAAGGCACTGAGGAGTGTTTTCGTCGGTTTTATGCTGAGGTATATGCTGCTGGAACTCTGTGCTGTTGTCTGTGACGAAGCCACACTTCGAACAGCGGAACTGAGTTTTCAGACGCTTAGCTGAAGGAGCCTCGAGACTACCTGCAGGATCCTGAACCTCCATCTGTGTGCCCACATCAGGTGTTGCTGATACAAGCCTCTGGAAATCACAAGTTATGCAGTTTAGACCAGTGAGCAGATTGGAAGCATTTATGTTTGTGTTGAGAAATAATAAATTGCTACCTTGTCCAAAGCATTTTTGTCTACTTGGATGGGCATTTTTGGCATTTGGCTAAGATCAGGATTTTTTATTCCATGCATAAGGCTGATGTGGTTCTTCAACATCACACTTGACGTGAATATTGTCTTCTTGTCCATGCAATACCTAACAAACAGGGATGGAGCAACAATTAAAAACTGCTTTGTGGCCAAAGTTACTATTATTATTTATACATTTTCAAAATCTTACCAACAGGTATAAGTCCTCTTTTTCCCATCATGATCATTGCGAATGTGTCGTCTCAGACTGATTGCAGTGTTGAAAGACAACACACAGTGTCGACAGGGATACTTCTTCACGGACTGTTGACAAAAATAAATAAATAAATAATTTGTAGGAATGACAAGATGAGCTTAAGTGAATTATTTAAGCATCAGCGTTGAAACAGACAATTTTGGATCTAACTGGGAATTCAAACCAGAATAAAAATGCATCTTGCTTATACTGGTTGACCTAAAAACTCTGAGTTAGAGGTGCAGGACTCATTTCAGCCCTACTGCTCTTTGGCTACTCACAGCTGTGAAATACTACTGGTCCAACTAATAGTATTTCCCAAACACGTACTCAACGTAGTATTTTTTTTTTACTGGTTCAATTACTTTATTTCCATTACGCACAAAAACAAAATATGTTCATAATAAACCTCACCCACCCCTTCTATTTTTTTTTTTTAATTTAACTTGAGTCACAGTTTACAGCACAGGGGACTCTCATCACTTCTGTTATTTTTATCTTCTATATTTTTATTTTATTCTGTATTTCATTCTAACAGAACAAACTAGGAAAAAGTGTTTGCTTTGAGAACGTTATTGTTTCAGTTTCTTGAGCTGGAAATTCTGTGCTATTTTGGTGAAGTGATGAAAGCTCTACAGCTTTCTCCATGATCCATCTCGAGCTAAACGTGTTGCATAGTAATATGTATAACAGTATGGTAAAATATGTAAAGCAGTATAGTAAAAAGAAAATAAACAAAACAGAGCAGTGTGTATGGGGAATAATTTTGCATTTGTACTCATTTAGTAGCAGGGTAAGACGATTTCTACTCAGTGTGAACTGAAGCCCAATGAGTCTAAAAACTCACTGTGTATCCTGGAGAAAACAGAGGGCATGGGGAAAAAAAGGAGGGTGGTGGTAATTGGCAAGCTGCTCCAGAGTAATACTGTATATTCTACATGACCCAGTTTCAATTCAAAACACAAATTTTACATTCTTAAAAAAATAAAAATAATTGTGTTTATATGGAAAAATGCCAATTCAAGGCATCTAAACCCAGGTACCACAGTTTTAATACAGGAACCCAGACAAGGCTTTACATGATTTACTGATGTTGCTGTCTGAGCGGTCTTCTGTGGCACACTGTTGGTATATCTGTCAAGATTTTAAGACACCAACTCAAGACATAAGAGCACAACACTCAGTAATGTTTTGCATCAGCAGACGTCAGTGCGGGGTCAGTGCACCCATACCTTTCCGTGTGTGGTCTTCAAATGGGAAACGTAGGCATCTCGCTCAGTGAACTGCTGCAGGCACTCGTTACATGTCCATCCAGCGGGTTTCACACGATTTAGGATTTTGCTGTCTTGCTCAGATTTCTCTCTAGTAGCAACTGTCTGTTTAATAGGGTAGTGACTCTTCTGTTTTTGGATAGACTGAGACTCCTGGTGCAAGTCAGCATGCTTAGTTTCTTTCTTCTTCTCTGTCTCTTCAATCGTGTTTCCTACATGCACACCCTGCAGAACAGGAAACACAAA